TTTTTCTTTATGGATGGGTATTGGTAAGAATACTACGTCCAAGTCCATGGAGACTGGGAGTTCAACCGAAGGCAAATATGAGGACGAAGCAAAGCACCCCGCTTTCTTCACCCTTCCAGTAAGGGCATTCCCTGCCATCCTTTCCTCTTGAATCACTCTAAAGTAGTTTCTGTATTGAATCGACATAGGGTTAGCTTTAATACTCATGTTTTCAGTGAAGGTTAAGGCACTCGAAAACCAAATGCGTTTCACATGAGAGAGTCTCCGGGGATCCCTGTGGGCTGACTCTGGTTTTGACCCTGTGCTGTGGCTGCAGTCACCTGATGGGATTAGCTCCCAGAAGAAACTATGCTTACTGTGAATGCTGTGAAACTGGCTCAGCGCCCACTCTGTACTGGAGGATGTTGAAGGCTTAGTTTAATCTTCAAAAATGTATCCTTGTGAAATAGCCTGCAACCCAACTTCAGACTTGTATTACAAGGTGGGAGAGTAAATGAATGACTTATTGTTTAGATGCCCATGCTTTGCATTATGGTAGCAGTGCCCAAGATAGAGGTAGTTTTATCTGGACAATTAATATCAGTCAGATAAGGCCGATGACACACATTCATTATCATTCAGGGCTAGTATTTTTCCAGATATAGGATTATGACTTAATGTATGTAAAGTTACCTAAAGCATTGGGGTGACAAATATGTGGTGACAGAAAGAAATCTAACTATGGGAGGGGAACACACAATGCAATATATATAATGCATTAATGTTAAATTGTACACCTGAAACTTATAGGTGTACAATTTAACATTAATGCATTATATATATTGCATTTTATTAACAGTATCACCAAAAATAAATATAATTTTTTAAAAGCTTTTGTATGTCAAAAGACATTATTTAGAAAGTGAAAAGACAGTCTGCAGAATGGGATAAAATATTTGCAAATGACATCTAATAAGAGTCCAGTATCCAGAATATATAAAGAGCTCTTATGAGGCAACAAAAAAAAAAAACTAACTTAATTTTTTAAATGGGCAAAGGACTTGAATAGACATTTCCCCAAAGTACAAATGGCCGATAAGCACATATAAAGATGCTCAACATCATTAGTCATTAGAAAAATATAAATCCAAACCACAATGAGATACCACTTCACATGCACTAGGATAACTATAATCAAAAAGACAAACAAGGACATTATGTTATGTGAAGTAAGTCAGTCAGAAAAAGACAAATACCATATGATTCTACTCAAATGGGGAGCCTGTAGTAGTCAAAATTCGTAGAGACAAAAAGTAGAATGGTAGGGCCCTGTAACTTTCTGCCTCTGAGAGACCACGCTCTGTCTGTGGAGTGTTACCTCTTTTCTAATAAACTTTCTTTTCTAAAGAAAAAGAAAAGAATGTACAATGGTAGTTGCCAGGGACTGGCAGTAGGCAGGGAGCTGTTTAATAGGTATAAAGTTTCAGTTTTCCAAGATGATAAGAGTTCTGGAGATTGGTTTCACAACAATGGAAATATACTTAACACTACTGAACTGCACACTTGAAAATGGCTAAGATGGTACATTTTACACTTCGATTTTACCACAATTAATTTTTTTTTTTAATTTTTAAAAAAGGCAAACAATAACAAGTATTGGCAAGGATATGGGAAAATTGGACTCCTCATACATTGCTAGTGGGTATGTATATCCATACAATGAAGTATTTGAATGAAGTACCAATACATGCTATAACATGTATGAATCTTGAAAACATTATACTAAGTGAAAGAAGCCAAATACAAAAAGCTACATATTGTATGATTGATATAAAATGTCCAGAAAAGGCAAATCTATAGAAACAGAAAAGAAATTAGTGGTTTCCAGGGCTGCGGTAGGGAGGAGGGGGGTTGGTAGTGACTGCTAACAGGCATGGGGTTTCTTTTTAGAGTGATGAAAATGTTCAGGAATTGGATAGTAGTAATAGCTGCACTTGTAAATAAATTAAAAACCACTGAATTGTAGACTTTTAAATGGTAAATTTATGTAATGTGAATTATATCTCAATTAAAAATAAATATATTAAATAAATAAATAAATAAATAAATGCTTGATGACAGAAACCAGATATTCGCATAGTGGCAAAGTATCTCCCTCAAAATATTTAGTAACAACAAAGAATAGTAAGTTTACACTGGAGAATCCTGGCAGATACTACCTTAGCCAAGTGATTAAGGTCAACATCACCAGTAACATATCAACAACACGTACACCTTGATAGATGCACCAAGAAGATCACATTAACTTCTGTGGTATCTTTCCCCAAAACACAAAGCCTTAATCATGAGAAAAGAGCAGACAAACCTAAATTGAGGGACATCATCCAAATTAATTATCCAGCAGTCTTCAAAAGTGTCAAGGTCATGAATGACAATAACTATCACAGATTCGAAGAGACTATAGAGCAATGACAACTAAATGCACTGTGTGATCCTGGCCGAATAATGAAGCAGAAAAAGAACATTACTAAAAAAACTGGTGAAATCCTTCTAAAGTCTGTACTTTAGTTAATAGTATTAGACAAAGGTTAACTTCTTAGTAGTTTTATAAATGATCTATGGTTATATACATTATTATCATAAAAGGAAGATAAGTGAAAGATACATGGAAATTCTCTGTAATATTTTTGCAACTCTTCTTCCGTAAGCCTAAAACTTGCTCAAATTTTTTAAAAATTAACTGTTAAATGCTTTATGAAGTTAAAATATCTACTAGAAGGGCGGCTGAGTGAGAAAATATAGCAAATTTCCCAGAAAACAATAAAATTCTAGAGTTATAGACCAAGACTTGTCTGTGATGTAACAAAAGCCTTCCTTCATTTGGGAAGATTAATAAGCTTGTACACTAAACACAGTTCCTGAAGCATCGTACCACGAAGTCATTTTACTCCAAAAAGATAATGATAGGGAAAAGAACAAAGAATGAAATGCTCTATGAAAGATTTTAGATCCTTAGTTTGTCCTCAGAAAATGTATGCTGAGCATTTATGACTGCTTGACTATCTCCAGTACTCACTAGCTCATGTTCTAATTTCTGACCCTATTTCCTGATATCAAACTAAAATCTGCTTTATATTAGCCTCATATATTCAGAATCGTACAGTCTAAAAGGCCAAAGAGATAATCTAATCCAGTAGTTCTCGAAGTGCAGTCCAGGACCAATAGTGTGTCTCTAGGAAACCATTACAAACATGCAAATTCTATACCCACTCCAAAACTTCTAAATCAGAAACGCTGATGGTGGAACCCTGCAGTGGAGTTTTAACAAGCCCTCCAGGTAATTCTAACACAGGCTAAACTTTTAGAACCACTGGTCTCATCCAATCCCCTCACTGTAGAGGTGATTTGCTTAAAAGGTTTCTTAGAAGCAGTCATGCCTAAAACCTAGGCTGCCAACCCCCCATCTAATGCACTTATGACTTACCACACGCTGTCCCACCATAGACCCTAGTTCTTACCACTGAGACAATAAAGCATAAATTGAATTACTACTTCAAAACACCACCACCTCAATTATCCTATCTCCTATTCCCTACCATCATCATGTTCTCCTAGTTCTATCAACTTTTTGTCATGTGGTATGGTCTTTTATCTTGCATAAAATTTGTCACTTTAAATGAAGTACCACACTCCTAGTAGACAATGAGTCAAAAGAATTAGAAGCCTAATTCTTGAACTCAGTCGAACTATTACTTTAAATAGAACTAATAAGTATTTCTTATGTATCTTCTCTACGCCATCATTTCTCTCCATTTTGTATTTAAAGGAAATATTCAGCACATCAATGCAATCAATTAATGGTGACTTTTATACCCTGACATCAAGGGTCGTTCAAATGCCATATGTCCCACAGGCCAATTTCTTTTGGTATACTGTACAGAAACACATAAAGGTGAGCAAGATACCAGAAAGCAGAAGTAAACTCAAAAATAAATGCAATAAACTAAGAAGAAATAGGGAAGCAGAGTGAAGATGAAGTCAATCCTTTCCTTGACAAATCAAAACCAAGAGCAAAATTAATCCAAGTTAGTTATCTCTTAAACAAGAAAAATTTCAATTAAACATAATTTCGATAAAACAATTTGTAGGAGATAAGAGAGACCCTTGATAATCTTAGCTTATCAGAACTTTGAATTTTAAAATACGAAAAATTTGAATAACCTGTAATTAAATTCTTACCGGGCCTGATGTGGTATCTTCATCACTCTCTCTCTCCTCACTGCTTTCCATATCAACATGGGGAATCACTGTATCAGAAGTGCTCTTGTGGTGTCGCTGGTAATTTTCTGCATGAACATCTATGGATGAGTTTTGCAGAGTAGATTCTGCCTTGGAAGATGTGGTGGCTTCCATCTTTGGAGTTGAAATCCTGCAACTTTTCTTTATTTCAGTCTTCTCATATTTCTCACATGCCATTTCATTCTTAGAATTCTTATCCAATAGGCATTTGGGGAGCTTAAATTGGTCTGGCTTGTAATTACTGAGTGAAAAGGGGACAAGACACACCTAAGCTGTTTTTTTCTAAAACTGTAGTTTATAGTGGTCTCAGAGATACATAAGACATGTTTTGGTTTTCTTTATATTCATTCCCCTATTCAGATCAATAAAGGAAAAGAGTATTGGAATCCCAGGTCCTGCACCTTTTCTTACAGATCTATGTAAATAAATCTAATTCCTATTTCATAATGACAACATAAATCCAAATTGATAGGCTGTAGAAAATTTTGCCCAACCAAAATCTAGATACCTAATTCACTAATCTGAACAGAATTATTTAAACACTGGACACATGCTCTCGCTCATATGAGTCTACAAGACCAATAATAATGACGACGATCTGTAACTGAGACTACCCTGTCAGCGAGTAGCTAAAATTGTTCCAAGAGTGGAAAGCTGCCAATAACTGCTGCAAAAGCAAACAGAGTCCCTGATCCTATCCCGTCACTTTTTCTAGGTTCTAAGAACCTTTTTCAACGCTGAAGGTCTTGATTCCATAGAGGAAACCCAGGACAGGAATCTCGCTTCCCTTTTGAAGCAACAGCCCGAAAAGCTCCTTGAACTGCAAGATGCCCCAAGGGGAGGAAAATAGTTACGAAGTAGGAAAGTGCCCAGTGTCTGGTCCCGGCGCCCTCCTGGGCCTGTGCCCAGCAAACCCTTCACGAAGACTGCGGCAGGAGCACACCCGAAAGCTCAAGCCGTCTCCCACCTTCACCTGTAGTCGCTGTTCTAGAGCTCGCCTTTGCCTCAGCTCCGCGGCTTAGCGGCAAGCGTCTTCCCGCCAACATTGGGCGGGAGGCGGGATGGAAGTGGCGGGGCTTAGCGGCGCCTCCCACGCAAGACGCCTGCGCGGCGCAAGTGGGCTCAGATCCCAGCTGGCCGCAGGGGGCGGCACGCGAGCGAGGCACTGCTGTCTCTTAAAAAAACAAACCCACCTCACCCCAAACTCAAATTCTTTAAGGATGCGAAGGGATGGAATGGGCATTTTTACCCTGGATCCTGATGAGTCTGATGCCGCTGCTGTCAAGATCTTGCTTTGAAAAGCAATGGCGTTTCTGCTGAGGAAAAACCACCTTGCCTTGCAATGTGAGCCTAGAAAAAGATTCATTCACTTAAGATACTCTGCGGAATAGGGAGGAAAGGAATCTAAATCAACATGCAGTCTTTATCTCGGCCTACTGGTTCCTTATAACCCTATCACCAGAAAATTATGTCCTATGGCTATCGTATTATCTTATTCCTAGGAAGAGGACCGTTTTGATTTTTTTTTTCAAAAGCTGATAACTTTTAGGTGATTTAAATTTCACCTGATCATCTGCCCACCAGTTAACTAAGATCCTAATGATGATCTCACAAATCCCAAAGATGGGGGAAAAGCTGTGAATCATAATTTTTGTATCACAAAGCAACATCAGATGTTAGTGTACTGTATTATAGACACAGCCATATTGAACCTCTTTTTGTTGTTTTCTGGGTTACCTTGAGCCAAAACATGCCTTTCCAACAGATTTACTTCTGAACAGCATAGTTTTGGAGCTGATAAATTCATAATCTACAATTCTAACTACTTGATTTTTAAGCCTTTTCTTTCTAACCCAAAATTGCTCTCTTGGTAGGTTTCTTGGGTCTAACGATGTTCCTTCCTGGAGGCTTGCCCATTTTATTCTTTCAGCCTAGGCCCAATTTTAGAACACAGGTGAAATAATTTGAAAACTAATCCTATTAACAGCACCAGCAAGGTCCTTCATGATGTAGTACCAGCTCAACTTTCACCACTCTTTGACTCAAAAAATGAGTCAAACTGATAAAATCAAACTTTTCAGTGTCTGACAAATTATCATGCTATTTCTGAACTTCAAGGCTTTGCTCCTGCTGTCCCTTCTCTCCCCACCACAGCAGTTAAAAAGTTCTTTTTTGGTGAAAAATGTGTTGACTTCCAATTAGCCAATGTTTTTTACACAACCTAGCTGGTAAATTGTGATCGCTGCTGTTACAATTCTATAAGCCCTTGAAGACTTTCTGAATAAAATTCAAGCTTCTTGAGGACAACCCTTTTAACAATATTCCACACTCCTTACAGAGAGCTAAGCACGGCTAACAACAAGTACTTAATACTTATGAACTTATATACACTTCCCAGCCAGGAATATAATAAGCAGTCTCTAAAAACTTGAAGAACTGGGAAGCGTAAAAGTAGTGTTCAGATTTCAGGCATTGTCCCGGGCCCGTTGTAGGATTTTTTTTTTTTGTAACCTAAATCACCACCAGCTGCCCTCGCGTCACCAAAATATACCGCACAACTCACTAAGCCTCATCAACAGATGCTATTAGCAAGATATCTATTCCGATTGAATTCCAATTCAACAGTCTGGACTAACTACTCTATTCGTCATTATCCTATGTTCCTCGGCTTAAAAACCGTCATTATCCTATGTTCCTCGGCTTAAAAACGAAGCTAACAAACGTAACCTTTAATTCGGACGTTCCTCGGCGCACGGTCTCAACAGCAGAGCCCAATAGAAGCAATTTCCCGCCAGAAGCGGCGTCCGAATACCGCAGGATTGAGAACGAAAGGACTAACTATGAACATGCGCAGTCACAAACAACATTCTAGCGGTAGACGGCCAGACGTCCTCCACAATCCCACAATGCCCTGGTCGCATATTTCCGGTTTTTCTAGCTAAGCCGTAAGTGGTGTTTCTATCATTCGCGCAGCAGCGTCCAGTGGCTCCAAGTGGGGAAGATCTTTCTGTAGGTTGGTGTTGTAGCTGTTCACTATTTGGACTCAGTGAAGTTTCGGGAGTACCGCCGCTGTCATCAACATGTCGGTCCCAAGCGCACTTATGAAGCAACCGCCCATTCAGTCCACGGCTGGGGCCGTCCCAGTTCGCAATGAGAAAGGTACTGTGCTGAGCCGTTTTCCAGTACGATCTTACCTCTTCCCCAGTATACGCCAAACCTACCTCGGGCCGACCACCCTAACCCCGCAGACCCTTAAGAACCTGCCCCCTGTTTCTTTTACTTTTCCCATCAAATTTGCAGCCGATAGCGTTGCCTATCTCATCTCGTTCCTGTAGACTGTTTGCCCTCGCTTCCAGCAAGCATTCCTCTTCCCGTGGCCTCCACCAATTTGTTGGACTAATACATAAGTGAATGCTCGCAGTTTGCAGGCCGTTGAGCAGAATACAGTCTCTCTTTGGTTATCCATAGCAGTTTGTTTATCCTGCTTTTATAACTCTTATCATTATAATTATTTGTGTCTATTCTGTCTCCCTCTACTGCATCATAAACTCAACCTCCTTGAGGCCGGAACCATGTCTTGTTAAACTTTTTATCCCTTTCAACCAACACTGTGACTGTATTAAGTTGAATACGAAGTTGTGTAAGACAGTGTCCCTAATAAGACTTATTCGTATTCTAGTAGATGTGAGACATTCAAAGAGTTACATTCTAAGAATACAGTCTTTCACACCCATGATACCTGTCACCTAGATGATATAAACCAAGCATTATGGGAGGGCAGAGAAGGAATAATTTTTTCAGATTTGGGTAATCAAGGAACACTTTTTCAAGAAGGTGGCATTTAAGGATGGGTAGGATTCCAATGAGTACAAATGGAAGAAAGAACACATCATCTCTTTAGGAGCCAGAATAGTCAGAGCAGCTTCCTCACCTCAGGGTCTTAACAGCAAAAAATATATATATATATACTTTTTAATTCAACATGGCTTTGAGAAGTATCCTTTGGATACATATAGATCTAATTCATTTTTTTAACTGTTTGTGAATTCCATTGTATAAACCACAGTTTATTTCCTACAGAGAGACAGTTGTAGTGTTTTTTTCTCCTGTTACAGTGCTGCAATTGTCATTCTTAAATGTGTCTCTTTAGTGCACCTATATAACAATTTCTCTAGGGTAGACTCCTAGAAGTTCATCATCAATTACCTATTTCCATTTGCTCTTCACAGTGGGTTGTAAGGGCATTAATAGTTTTTTTGTTTGTTTGTTTTTTGGTTTTTTTTGCCCCATATATTCTTCCACATACTGGTTGTATCAGATTTTTAAATATTCACCCAATCTAATGGGTGTTAAATGATATTTTAATTTATATTTCCGTAATTACTAGTGAGACTAGGCATCTTGTTCATATGTTTTTCAGCTGTTTTCAATGGTTTTCTCTTCTACGAATTAATTACCTGTTTCTGTCATTTACCCACTTTCTTTTTGGTTTGTTTTTTATACATCTCAAATCAGTAATATCTATTTCCCCAGTTTGTCTTGTATGGAGTCTTCCATTACATGGGCATTTTTAGCTTTAGTATTATCAGATTTATCAATTTTATCTTTTATGG